TATTGTTAGCAATACGCTAATCTTTTAACATATCGACAAGCCTAGTCTATTTCGTAATATTATCCCAAGCTAAACCTGTAATGTTTAAAGCCTTTACAAAACAAAGTCGACCTGAATTTCAGCAATTAAGGCGCCGAGTAGTAATCACGTTTGTAATAAATTAAAGCTACGTTTTTATATTTTATGAAAACATGTATTGTTTATAAAGTAAGTCATAAATTATCTAGCTTTGTTGACTTCAAATGTCGTAACTATTTCTACCTCATAGGTGGAGTTGCGCAAGAATTATTGTTGAGTTAGGGGTCTCGGGTTAAATTTCTTAGTCGTGCAAAGTATGAAAAGGTTTCATCGAGAAAATCTCTCCAGCACCCTAAAAACTTTAAATTATCTTCAAAGAGAAAATTACCTTTTCATATCGCTAGGAATCCTATATAACAGTTTTCTGGCAAATACGCGCATATTCGCTGTGTGTCGCCAACGGGACAAAAGATTTACTTTCATTTTCAAAAAATGAATTTTTATTTACATCTTCGCAGTGTTTGTTTTTGAATACACACAAACGTTATCTACACTTTTAATCTGACCGACATATTGCGTAAGAATTTCAAATAACTTTTCAAGCGGAATGAAGATTTTGATTTATTATTATTTAGGATTTTTGGGAACAATTTTACGAAATGATTATTCGATGACAACCAAAAAGCATACAATCTAACTTCAAACTACCAAAGACTAATTTAGATTACTTTTTTTAAGGTAAAGACTACAAAGTCTATATAGGTCTATAAAAATCTTATTTCAACTTTCGTTGTCTATAGCGTCGGCTATTGACCACGTTTTTCTACAAGCTTATTAAGTTTTTTTAATCTAAAACTACTGAACTAGAAGTAGAAGTATCTAGTGTACTAGTTGTGATCGATTAAACTTCAATCAAACTACACGAAACCATTTTTGAGAGTACACGCTTGACGTAAACACATCGTCAAATACAGTAGGTACAACACAGTTGAATCTAGAATGAGCTAACCTAGAAACCATCCAACAAAGCACAACAAAACAAGCTTACATACCCACAAGGATCGATTTGAAAATAATTCCGTAAACCCCCAATGTTTGGGTACAAAAAGTCACCAAATCCGAAATCCATTTTTGTTCTCAAAGATCTGACAGCATTTGCTAAGTACATAGGTATAAATACTTAAAGCCACATGAAGGCTTTTTGAGGTCACGAAAACATAATTTTCAGGGTGTACAAGTTGAAAAAGTGTGTCATTACTTGCGTTGAACCGGCTTGTTGGAAAATCGTGTGTTACTTGACAGGTTTGTTATTGGGCTGTTGCCATAGCAACGCGTTTGCGGAAACCAACGTTGACCGCAAGATTCGATGCGTACGCCACACAAACTTGACTTTGCTGCCCTCTAAATTTGTGTTCAATGAAAATTGACCTCTATGTCGAGTGAATAAAGAATTCATAGATGGACAAATGACTTTTGGAATGATACATTTGTCTTTGTTTAAGGTCCTTGACTGGTCTACTTTTGGTGAACCTCATTTTGTATTTTGTTTAGTAATGACCAACGTGAACTATAATTATACACCGGAATATAATGTGTGCTAGCTGAACTTTATGGTAAATTGTGCCAAAGGTCAGGAGCCATGGAACATGATTCAAAGAATATTGATGATTGTATCTACTGAGCAGAGGTAACACTGTGTTGCACTTTTATAGACTGTAGGAAGGGTATTGATTTTAAGAATTTGTGGTCGGTAGGAAATGTACTACACTGTTAATCTATCCTTAACTACAAATCGAATTATAGGAGGCAATGAAAATCATGTATGTGTGAACTGAGAAACCAAACTCGGTATTCGTGAAATGAATGTCCTAACATTAAGTAGTAGTAGTAGTCTAAAAACACAGTCACAACCTACTTCAAAATTATCTACTGAATCTTCTTCTATCATTTTACCATTCTCCCCTTTCAAGTCCCTTACCTACCGTTATCAAGCATCAGTAACCAAACAAAACCTAAGTCATAATTATAAGCTACAAGCCATCCACTACTGAACCAAGGTCATTAAAAAAAAGGCGGACGCAGTCTCTTAAAACAACGACTCTGGCTCCTGGTTACTATAGACTTACACGCAGAACATACATACATTGACACGAAGGACATCAGTCATTTTCTTAAGTCTTGTAACGTGGTAACTTATTAAACACACACATAAAAAGACAAGACATTTGGTGCTTCTATCATTTCCAATAGACTGCCTCATTGGCCGAGTGGTCGCAAGTGCGAGTGCCAGGCAAGGGGTCTCAGGTCCAATTCCCGGGTCGGGCAAAGTATTACTGGGTTTTTAAAAAATTCTCAGTAGTAGCACGGAGTCTGGATTTGTGCCCGGTATATGGCAATAGGCTCACCCCCTATTACATGGGACACATAACATAAATAATAAATAGTGAAAAGTGGGTGTTACATTGTACAGTGGCAAAATGTGCACCTCTGCCTACCCCTTCGGGGGTAAAAGGCGTGATGTTATGTTATTTTAGTATGTCCGCCTTTTTCTCAAAGTCCTACGACACGTCAGTATTGAAAATACTACTCCCTATAATAACTTCTACAGAAGCTAGTTAGAGACAACCTACATGATGCATCTTTCCAACTCATTCAAATTTGAAACACCATTTCGTAGCTTCCGAGTAACAATTGCATCGGCAAGGTAACTGACCTTTCTGTTTACCCCGAGGGGTAAACTTGAAAGGTTTGTACTAGATGTGTGTCAAAGTTCACTGACTAGACATGGACGGGGTCAAACACCGGCCCAAGTCATTATTAATGCAATCGATTAGGAAATTGAGGACTTGACTTATCGAGGACATCGGACGGCACTGTCCTGGGTACTTTTAAGTAAGCTTGACTAGGTATGGTTGTGAATTGTGATAAAGTCGTTGTAACTAGAACCGACTTGTAATCTGTCATAAGCAATTTTTATCCGATCTCTTGTTCACACTTATGCGAGTTGTGTGGTATTGTCCCATTCCTCTGACGTGTCAGTTTGAGAAATACGGTACAGCTGTTGTCGTACACTCCCGTGATTCATTTCTGGATTGAACATGTTTCCATTTTGGGAAATTCCCAGATAGATCTATTATTTTACGTGACGTCTCATGCATGACAGTGCGGGTTCGAAACCTGCCAACTGGAACTACAAATGTGACTTATTCCTAGTTATATGACTGCTCTTTCTAAGATTATTTACCACTGACAAACGGTGCAGGAAACTATAGTGGTAACACGCATTGAGAGAGCAATTAAACATTCTCCGTGCGAGAAGAGGCTTTCGATCAGCAGTGGGCACTTATAGGCTGTTGATGATGATGAATGTAGAATT